AAAAAAAATGAAAACATATATATTCGTAACCAATTCGTCACGCTCTGTGTAATCACATATAAAAAAATTGCTTTAGTTTTGCACTTATTGCACCTTATAATAATGTTTCGCAAATGTTTAGCTACGGTTTATACTATTATATTTACTAATCAAAAATTGTTTCCATGCTTTCTCGAACTTCCAAACGAAATATAGTGAAATTCAATTAATTTTTGACAGACTATATACCCTAGTCAAACATCTTGTAAGCAAGATCTTGGGCAAGACACAAGGTACAGAAATGTTAACAGATCTTGAAAATTTAGGTACAAGATAATATGATTATCTTGTACCAAGATCTTGAATCAGATCTTGGGTCCAGATAAGTAAGATCTTTTTTACAGATATTTAGGATCTTGGGCACAGATTAATAAGATCTTAGGAATGGATTCATTAGATCTTGGGCACATATTACGATAAAATCTGTTTCGTACGTCGTGATTTGCGATACAATACATGATTTATTCTGAAACTATGGCTCGAACCTATCATTAAGCGAATTTTTTTTCTGTAAAATCATACTATCACACTTTTTCAATTTATTTTCATTTGAATTATTCCTATCTCAAATAATTGAAGCAAGTCAGACCTTGGAATCTGACTGACCTTGAGATGGCTCGATCTCCATTGGGCTGCTTCAAGGTAGTCCTCCCTCGATGATTGATTGAGATCAGTATGTTCTCGAATAATTAACATTCGAGAAATAGTTTTTAAAAAATTTATTTTGAAAATGTATGCTTCACATGTTCAAACACGTTGTTTATATACGGCTATGTATGCATAAAAAGAACGGTGAATGACTAGTCAGCACATAAATACTAATGATATCGTTCTTTTACTCAAGATCTTGTGAGAAGATAATAGTAAATGCTGTCTTTTCTATGATCTTGACAAGATCCTTAGTGCAGATTTATCCAATACAACCAAGATATTCACATACATATGATCTTTTCCAAATCTTTTCAAGATCTTGCTTACAAGATGTTTCACTAGGGTAGTAGTTTTATATTTATTTGTCCGTTTTTCTTTCTACGTGAAATTACTGTTATACGAAATACTCAGATTGAATCAATTTGTCATTGTATATTTTCGTATAATATTGACGGACATCAACAAACCAATATAGGTTTTTATTCAAATCCACTATCAACTTCAGTAGTCAATACTACTTTCCCGATGATATACTTAGAATTCGTGAAGAAAAATAAAAACAAAACACTTCAAGTGTTTTCAACTTCACTCAATGCACTACTAATGATTATCTAAAATGAAATGACACGAAACATACTACTGCATTAACAAGATAAGTCAAATAAACATACAATTCTGCACTGTTTGTTCTAAGAGAAAGTTAATGAACTTGAATATCAACTTTCTTGGTCACCACATCATTTGCATTGCATTTTTCTATTTTATTGCCATTCTAAAAAGATTAAATAATAAGAGGATCATCAAACTACAATGCATTATAATTTAGTTTCGCAGATTTTTGAAGATTAAACATTATTCATTAAAAATAAACATTTAATTTTATTTGCTTGATATATAGAAATGCTCTTTCGTATCATTAACAAAAAATTTATTTATTTCGCTGATTGTTACACCATATAATTGCGTAACGTTAAAAATCTACATCATCATTTTCTAGTTTACAGTAAATAAAACAAGAATAGAATTACGATTCTATAAATAGCAAGTTATTCTTTTAATCACTTGATCAATTGCACATAAAAACAGATAAATCGTCACCTTGAAAATTAGATATTTATTTATAGTACATATTCAAAAATAGTATCACTATGTCGATAAATTGACGCATATATTTATTGCATATATATAGATTCTAAAGCTTCTCTGGATTGAAAATTAAGAAGAAACATAGACAAAAATTATGTTCTATATTGAAGGAAATTTCCTCTTATTTCGAGCTTGCTAAAAAATGACTTGTCAAAAATTTTCAAATCTTTCAATGTAGATGAATTTCGATAAGTCGAATAAAAGTTATCATAGATTCTGAATATCTAAATGTATCATCCTCGAAGGCTTCCAAAAACTAACAATGACCTGAAATTCTCCATTTCCTTCCTGCAAAAGTCTATAGGATGTTTTTATGGTTGGGGTTTTGTTTTGATTGTGGCAACTAGAATTAAATCCAAATGCATGTTGTTTTTTTTCCTTTGGAGAATATTTATCTTGAGACTTACGAGAATCAAAATATTGAAGGCACCCCTAAGAAAATTTGTTTTTTTTTTTGAAAAAGGAGAAAATTTCAGCTTTTTTTGAAGCCTAGTTTTAAGATAAATGCAGAGAATATTGCACTCTTTTTAACGAAAAATAAATTTCTTTTTCAAGTTTGTTTTATGAAAAATAAATTTATATAGCGAATGTAAAAAGGGAAAACTGAAAACTTTCGGTTTATTATCGGTAATTCATTTTGTAATATTTACACTGTCTTCAATTTTATTAATTTAAATTGAAAATAAAGAGTTTATTGAAAGATTAAAATGTATTTTTTATAAAAAGTCGAAATTTTTATATTGAAACAAAAAAAAAGTTGATATTTGTCATAACTTTACATTATTGAATTACATGATTAAAAAAATACTGTTTTTTTCATTTTCGCCGTCGCCAATCCATTAACAACTTATTTTCAGGTGTATAAAAAGGAATTGTTTTTCCAAGTACAAGTCGCATTTCATCAACCAATCGACACCAATTTGATGTTAATGTTCCAACATGTAAATCTGCATTAGCTTCAATAAATAAATCACTTAGAAATTCTAGTATGATTTTTCTACGTTGTTCACTCTTCATGTGAATTAATGATCCAAAAACAACATTTCTTTGTACTGGTATATTTAATAATTTATAATAGTCTTGTTTTTCTTTATTGATTTGAGCAAACTCATTGAAAACTTGTTCATCTTCGGAATTAATATAAATTATACTTATATTTGCTCGTCGAGCATCAGCATCAAATAAATCAAAATATTGTTTAAGTGTATACGCTTGAGACATTTCTCTACTTCGAACTTTATCCGATCGACGCACATATACCGCAATATAAGGATGATGAAAATCAATTGAAGGTGATTTAAAATACAGTGCTATGGTATTCTGTACATGAGCTAATGTTTCAGGTTTATATCGCATTAAATAAAATAACAATTGTGCACGATACCAATTAAATGTTCGATTTTGAAATATAGGTGGAAGAATAGGCTTGGGCCAATGACCTGTGTTAGCATTGATTTTAATTGTTTGATTACCATCGACTTTAGATGGAATTGAACAATTAGTTATAGGGAGAAAAAAACAATCTGGTGTACTTGAGCTACAAGCTCCGTAAAGCTAAAATAAAATCAATTATTAAGAATTATTAATTATTTCATCGGCAGTGTTTAAAGTTTTCCCTGATGGAATTTCGGTTAGCATATGTCATATATTGTAAAAGGATAAGTTCAAAATTGTAGATAATCTCAAAAATAAAAAGAAAAGCACAATCAGTGTAACTCCACAAATAAACTACTCTACTCAATATTCTGAATTCAAGGTACTCGTCTACTTGCTCAGTTGTCATCGGGGTACCGTTCCGAGTACTCTGTTGAAAATCGTCTCAGTACATACACTGTAGGTACTAAGCAATTACCTGAGGAGTTTTTATAACATTCTGTGAAGAGCTTTTCAACTATTTAGGAGATTAAATATTTAGAAGCATTTTCTAGTTAAGTGCTAAAAAAGCTATTATGTACTCAAATGTTCCTATGAAATACTGGTAGTAGAGTACTCACGACTAAGTACGTTCACTAGGATATTACTG